GAGAACGGCCCGGCGGCAGAGTGGAGACCTTCCCTCCACCGTCCAGAGCGGGTAAGAAGGAGGCACGATAGGCTCCGCCCAGCCAGAACCTTTCTTTTTTTCCGAGATCCATGGAGCGTCTCCCGCTTTGAGAACGAAAAGAGATGTAGAAGAGAAAACGGAAAAAAACAGCAGAACAGAGGGCAGTTATCGAGCAATGAGTATCCGAGCTGGGTGGCATCCGGGGAATCCTGAGAGAAATGGACGTGGGCTGCTAACCTGCCAACTTGTTTCCGGGAGTCCAGAAACCATCATGCGAAAGATTGTGCGCCGAGGACGAGGCAAAGCCGGACGGTCCATGGGGCCAGGAGGGTTCTCCTTGCGACGTGGTCCGCGCGCGAACTGCACCGTAAGTCGTTCACCTTTGAAATCGGAGCCATCTACGAGGAAAGTTAGGACCCAGAACATTGCGACGTTAGAACGATCTAGTACATACGGAAGGCTGATGGAGAAACAGGTTAGCCAGTCCATGCGACCACGCGGTCAGCGCAAAGCTGGGAAATAACGGTCTTACCGGGGACAATGTCTCTCGCATCCATCGCATCCTCATACTCGATGAAGCCGAAGCCGTTCATCAGCTTAATCTCGGTAACCTTGCCGGAGCCATGGGTACTGAAATGTTCCTCGATGTCTTGTTTATTCACTGGGATAAGACTCACAGCGTCCGCAGGGAACGCCGTGACAGATGTTAGCTCACTCGCATCAAACGGATAGATAACTCCAGATATTTATTACGGGGCCACCTTGGGATGTCCAGAAATGGGTCAGACGGGGGCAAGAGAGAGGGAAGGGGAAACACAAAGACAACGATAACGATGCGACCGATTGGCCGTAGGCGCGTACAAGGTCTGTCGTCCTCCAGCCGGGCTTCCTATGCGGGCACCGTCGGTGTGACGACGCCGGGGAACGTCCACACATCCGGAGCTGAAACAGGCAAGGGAACCTCTTGGGGGAGTTGTAGGAGAAAGATTGATGGATTCCAGCATACCGTTGCGGGGAAGATTCCCGAGATAGAGTCGAGTGGAAGAAACCTCCGTCATGCTGGGTGGCTGGGTAGCTGTCGCAGCAGAAAGGAAACCGAGAAATCAATGAAGAGAACGAATCCGCACGATTAGGCGCTAAATTCCAAGGCGGATCTGGCCTTTGGAAACCGTGGAGGTTCAAGACGATCCTATCAACCGGTGTGGGAGTAAACACGGTCGTGCAAAGAAAAAAAAAGAGAGTAAAGATAAGAAAAGGTCGGGCCTGGGGATCAACTAGCTATAGTCCTCGGATCTGGTGATAGTTCCGGGTAGTGTGCATCCACAGTTGGAAGGCGCTCCGGAAAGTCAACTAGCTAGCCGGTGGGCCTAGTGAGGAGGGGCTGGAATGTTGGGACCGTGGGAGGACCGATTCAATATCCAGTTTGGCTTAGAAATGCACGGAGATTGGAGAGTTGGATGCTAATGACTCGTATCTGAGACACTGACTGGGGATGAAGTATGGAAGAGAAAGCTAGAGATGAGAGAGACGAAGAAGAGAAAAAGAATGAAGAAGAGGGGAAAGTGAGAGAGGGAAGAGAAGAGAAGAGAGAGAGCGAGAGAGAGAGCGAGAACAAGGCTAGTTTAGTAGATCGATCGCAGGTTGACCGCCAGGCAAAAAAAAAATATAATCATAATAATAATGGATAGGAAGTAAATTAAATTAAATTAACAGGAGACAGGAATTAATAATAGGAATAGTAATATCGATAATAACATGGATGAGAATATGGATAGTAATAATAATAACCAGGAATTTGAAACAGGAGAAAGAAAGACTAGGGCCAAAAAAGTACTGACCAGGATGAATCCGTACTAACGGGGGAGACATACCATACACTCACTATACGATAAGAGTGACTTGTCACTCAGACATGCAAAGTGAGGCGGATGTCTTTGCCCTGGGCCATGATCCACGTGGCCCCCGCTCCTCCCTTTCGGAGTTAATCCTGTCAGTCTGTCAATTTGCTGCTTCACTCTATGATGTTCTGGGTGTCATGTCTGATCATCCCGATGCGGTAGGTGGTACATTCTTCTTGGTCTAGTACATACCTTGCCTATCTATGATGTTTCGTACCTTCTTCGACCGTCCCTCTTCTCACCGGTAAAGATTGGTTGATGGGCCTTCGATATCCTCACGTGTTCACGTGGGCAAAACCCCATCCACGCTGAACCCAGATGAAGTACCCATAAGTATACAATGTACTCGATCGGGCGGACCGCCCGGTGTATTTCCACGGTTCCAGTGGCGGAGAATCCCCACGCGGATCAGCCCCGAGATCGTAGATACATACCTTCTCCTCCCCGACCGACGGCGTAAACTTTGAAACTTTGTCCATCTCCATCCTCCATCTCCAACCACTGATATCATCTCATGTGATCAAGGCAATCAATCAAGGAAACTCGTCATGATACTTAGGTAAGAGAATAATGGAAATAAACTTCTATATACAGACTCCTTGCCAAATTCACTCCAGTCAAGTCAAAAACGCGAGGGCTTTTCGTACACATAGATATTCAACATAGGACCAATGTGGTTATGGACAACGGCAACGGAACCAACTCCGCCACGCAGTCTATCAAGCAACTCCAATACGGTATAAAGTAAATTAATCAAAGGAAGATAAAGGAAACGGGACGGAAAAAGAGACGGGGGCTTAGGTCATGAAATACTTCGGACCCTCGCCTCCCTGAGGCGTCTGCCAGTTGATGTCTTGCGTCGGCACCTTGATGTCGCAGGTCTTGCAGTGGATGCAACTATATCCGCGTTAGTGGTGTTCACCCAAGTGAGAGATAAGAAGAGGAAAAGGGAGAGAAAGAAAAAGAAAAAAAAAACGTACTTCTGCGCGTTGATCTGGAAGCGAACCCCCTGCTCCTTGCTCGGGTCCTCCACGTACTCGTACACTCCCGCCGGGCAGAACCGGTTCTCCACGCCCTGGTACAGCGGCCACGCCGCCTCCGTGTGCTTGTCCCAATCCTTCACCTGGAGATGCACCGGCTGGTCCTCCTCGTGGTTCGTCCCCGTGCGGCTCACGCTCGTCAGAATGTCGAAGCTGATCTTGCCGTCCGGCTTGGGGTACTCGATCTTCTCGTAGGCCGACGCCGGCTTGGTCGCCGCTGCGTCCGTCCCGTGGTGCCGCAGCGTCCACGGCGCCTTGCCCTTGAACAGGAACGCCTCCAGACCCGAGTACATGATCCCGCCGTAGAGACCCAGCGGGGTGCTGAACGACGGCCGCATGTTCCGCACCTCGTACAGCTCCTTCCAGATCGACGACTTCCGGAGCGCATCCTCGTAGTCGAACAGGAAGACGGTGCCGCCGCTGTCATCCTGGAGGGCCGAGAAGGTCGATTCAGCGGCCAGCATACCCGACTTCATCGCCGTGTGGGTACCCTTGATCTTCGGGACGTTCAGGAATCCGGCACTGTCGCCGATCAACGCTCCACCGGGGAAGGCGCACTTCGGGATCGACTGGAAGCCACCCTCGTTCAGCGCCCGCGCGCCGTACGAGATACACTTGCCGCCTTCCAGGACGTCCTTGAACAGCGGGTGATGCTTGAGCTTCTGGAATTCGCCATACGGAGACAGCCACGGGTTCGGGTAGTCCAGGCCCACCACCAGACCGACACTGACCAAGTTGTCGCCGAAGTGGTACATCCACGCGCCGCCGTAGGTGTCCTTGGGCAGGGGATAGCCCATAGCGTGGACGATCTCACCCGACTTGAACTTCTCCGGCTGCACCTCCCAGACCTCCTTCAACCCCAGACCGTAGGTCTGCGGCTGGCTGTTGCGCCGCAGATCGTACTTCTTGATCACCTGCTTGGTCAAGCTGCCGTGGCAGCCCTCACCCAGAAGGGTGACCCGCGCGTGGAACTCCATGCCGCGCTCAAAGCTGTCCTTGGCCTTGCCGTCCCGGCCGACACCGAGATCGTTGGTGGCCACACCGAGCACGGAGCCTTCCGCATTGTACACCAACTCACTCGCAGCGAACCCGGGGTAAATCTCCACACCCACTTCCTCGGCCCGCTCACCCAACCATTTGGTCAATTCGTTCAAGCTGATGATGTAGTTGCCGTGGTTGTGCATCTGCGGGGGGGCGGGGATAGGGTACGCCGAATTCTCCGTCAAAAAGCGCATCTTATCCTCCCCCGCGGGGGTAGCGCCCTCAAACCGCGACGGGTTGTCCTCCGACAGCCAGTCGGGCAGCAACTCGTTAATCGCCGTCGGCTGCATGACATTGCCCGAAACGATGTGCGCGCCCAATTCACCAGCCTTCTCCAGCAAAATGACCCGGAACTCCTCGTTCCCCGCGTCGTTGGCCAATTGCTTTAGTCGGATAGCGGCAGCGAGTCCGGCCGGGCCTAGTTCAGCGGAATGACTCGGTTAGCCACGGCGAGGGGGAAGATTTTCGCAAAAAATGCGACGGGTGCGCCGGAGTTGCTCCTTACCTCCACCAACGACACAGACGTCGACCTCGTCCGTCTCCCTGTCCACCTGGCGGGGGTCGAAATGCCCATTCTCATCCGTGAGTCGCTTCGACAGCGACTGCGAGAACGCCCGCACCTGGCCGGGAGTCCGGCTCCGGGGGAATAATGCTGAGGGACGAGCGGCTTGTCGTGAAAGAAGACTGCTGGCAATTCGGGTGGCATTCGCGGCGGAGGTTCTGGAGGCCCACGACGAAGCGGGTCGTAGTTCTCGCCTCAAGAGAGGCAAAACGGCACCTCTGGAGGCCATCTCGAGAACGATGGCGGAGGGTTGGAAGGAATCGGAGGAGGGTGATCAATGTGTTGGAGAGATTCTATACTGAGCAAAGAGACATATCAAGAGGAAAAAAGAGTAGGGGAAAAAAAAGGAGTTCGCGCGAATGAAGCTAGGTGAACGAAAAGGAAACCCAGTAGTTCAAACCTCGGAGGTTGACACAATTCAATCGGGGCTCCCCCCTCCGTCAATCGGCTCGGAGGAAGTGCAGATGACTAAGGCCCTCTCGGCGGGAGAAGCCTCAGTCAGCATCCGCATCCGAGGTTATGTCTGCCAATGGGAAGAGAGGTGATGGGAATCAAGTCGTCTGTCTTCAACCCGCGTTCCGCCCGCTATCCGCCGTCACTCGCCCCAATAGTATTGCTTCGATGTCATCTAGTCCTGACCTAGTTAACTACTTCAATGTCGATTACTTAACTGACCAGAGATTATTAATCATCATCTTCCTAACTGATATCAGGCATGGGACGCGTCTTGACTAGCCCTTAGTAGGAACTTAATAGAAGCTTAGTCCATGTGATTTCCTGGTCATTATCCGGGGAGGAGAAATCAGATCCGATCTTGTTTATCGATCGAAGTACGGAGTACATCATTGTACTACACACTACATAGTACTAACATACTCATGACTCACAAATCCTGATATATCATCGGAGCGGGATCTCTCTGAGAGACACAACGATAGAGGGGTTCTTCTTCCCAACTCATGCGCCGATAAGAAGTGGCCAGCCTGGTCACCCCGAGGGGCAATCACATGAGCGACCAAAGAACCAGAAGAACCAGGATGTTGCGGTGGCTTTCTGGGAAACGACGTCATCTGACACGTGATGGTCCGCGTCGCCGGGGCTACAGTCTGTCTGTTGAACAGGCTGACAGCTTCTCGAAAACACCCTGCATATCCTTTCTTTCTTTTCTTCTTTTTCACCCATTTTCCCTGTTTTTTTTCTGGCTCGAGTAACCTTGTCACGGAGTTTACCAGCCGGATATCTGACAGTGTATTGATGGGCCGGGGGTCCGTCATCTTCCACGCTGCCGTCCAGTGCGACCCTCAAAAAACAGTGGGAATGCCCTCCAGTATGGTAATGTAGGTAGGTAGGTATTCAGCATACCGCATCGGCATGTAAATTACCATTTGAGGAGCGGGAAAGGCCACTTGTACTCTTGACGGGAACCAGTACTGATTACGTACCCGTGACGGAAACCCCGAGCGCCAAGCCAAACCACCGAAAATCAAATCCAGAGAGAAGTTACTAGTTAGAACAAGGAAAAGCCTCTTGAAGAGACTCGGGGGCGTTTGCGTGCGCCTCCACCAGCGCGCAAGTCCAACCGAACGATCCGTTCGACTAGCAATCACACTGCCGGAAAAAGTTGGCTGATCAACTCGGTGGATCACAAAAGTGTATAAGATCTGGGGAAGGCGAAAAGAAGAAAAAGAGAGAGAAAATGTTGTCACTTGTCGGGCTAGGCAGGCGAGGTGTATAAAGACCGCCAATCACCACGTCACGGCTCCCTACAATAGAGGCTCCTCCAGGATCCGATCGTGAGACCCATGATCCATCCATACGTAACATGCCCCGTCCTCCAAGAAATTTCGTTTATGCTTCGATAGATCAGAAGTCATGATAGACACGAACCAAAGGATATTGCCCTTTGATTCTCTTTATCTCTTTCTTTTTTTTTTTTTTTTTTCTTCTTCTTTCATTCACTCTTTTGATCTGCTATTCCTTTTGATGGGAAGTGATGTGGCTATAAATATTAATACCATCGGTGGACAAACAAGGAACCTGGGGTTGGAATAGGGGCATAAACAGAGTGAAGGAAGAGAAAGAGCTTTATGCAAGCGACCGGCAGAAAAGTTCTGGTTCGAACATCACATTAAAGCGGCAAGGTGATAGGCAGATGGACAAACGCGTCGCGAGGGGAACACCGAGAACAGTAACGCGACAGGAAGAGTGATTGGTTTGGGGGGTTGAGAGTGGGACGGTGTAGCCGACTCACCCTGAGGACAGTCACCAGTCACCACCACAGTGGTAGCCTGGTAGCAGTGGTAGGTTGGACTGGGTGGTCAACGCGAGTGGCTGCAACCATGGCGCCGGTCCAGGAAAGAAAAAAATAGTCATAAAAAAATAAAATTATGAAAAATAAAATTCAAATTAGAAAATATAATTAAAAGAAATGAGAAAAAAAAAAAGAAAAGAAAAAAAAAGAAAAAGAAAAACAGCATCAGAGACTGTCAACCAAACAGAGCGTGCTGAGACTTCATTTAGTGGGTCACCCAGACAATGAGAACAGAGTGGAACCGCCGATCAGCAAACCAGAGGTGAAGGAATGAGCGCTTGCTGGGGAGGGAGGGGGAAAGGAAGGATGAAAGGTTGGCCACCCAAGAGCCGCTAGTAGCAGTCCAACCACTCTCCATCCATGGGCCAAGGTGACCAAAGTGACCGCCCATCACTGTTTTTGCCGCCCGTCGCCGGGCCCAGCCTCCCATTCTCTCTCGTTCTCTCCCCCCCCCCTGACCACACTGAAACCACCCTATATAAAGGCCCAACCTCCCACTTTCCCTCACTCTTGGATTTTTTGATTCTGGTCTTGGCACCGCCCGGAAAGCCATACAGTCGCCCTTCTTCCCACCCGCCTTCCTTCCACCCCCTTCTCTCTCTCCGCGCTCTATCAGAGATCTGGCTATATTATTTAGCATTCTCTGCTCCCTGTGGCTTGACAAGGAAAAAATATCTTTTTTTTCCTGACGAATTTCTGGGAAGAAATTCATTAGGACGGGCTGGAAAAAAAAAAAGATCCAAAAAGGAAAGAGAAGGATTATTAATACTTTTTAGTCCTCTGTCCACCCGTTTCGGTAACTCTTACTGAATTAGGAAGGTTGCAGCCTCACCTCCTCGCCTTCCTCGGTGTGCTTCTCCATCACACTCTCTTCTTCGTTCACCCAGATAGACATCCCAAATTCCAGAAAAGGCAAAAAAGCAAAAAAAGAAAAAAGAAAGAAAAAAGACCTGTTGCGTGTTTGAGCTTCACCAAAAAAACAGTGTTGTTTCTGTCCACTCCTTCCTCTTGTGACTGGTGCCTGTTTATTGTCTTTTAATAGTTGTGCAAGCTACCCTACTTGTGTTTTAAAATCCCTTAGAAAAACACTTGGCTGTGCTTTTTCTAGTCTTGCTGTCTCGCACCTTTTCTGGCTTCATTCCCTTGATCCTTTGACCTCGTGGTTGGGTTCTTTGACGTCTTGATATCAAAGACTTGTTGCTTGTCACTGTGGCTGGTGACCTCGTTGGGCTTGGTTCTCTTTGTGTCTTTGTGAAGTCAAGACACATCACTGTAGGGGAGACATTGAGTTGTTCATCTCCCACAAAAAGGCAAAAAGGGTACGTGCTCCTCTCACTCTTTCGTTTCTTATCTCTTCACGTGTGTGAATGATGTTGGAGGGAAGATTGTTGCTGGCGGTAACAATGGTGGTGGCAATATTGCTTTATTGCCATCGCTGACCGCCCTGGTTGCCACTGTGTTCCCCGGTCATTTGCCTCTCATTCTTGACTTGAAATTCTTTATCTTCTCCTACCTTCTCCACTGCCCCATATGCCCATGTGGTGTGGGTTTGATCTTGCTGTGTCACCCATCTGACAGATTTGGATCGTGCAGATTGTCACTTGCAAGCTCCTGCATACCTTCAGCGTTTGGCTGGTTTACGGCTCGAGTATCCCACTCAGGTCGCAATGGACTCTCTTACCACCCACCCCTCGACCGCCTCCCAGGCGAGGGCGTTTACCTCTCCTGCCTCGCTGTCTTTTCCCGGTGGTGCTGGTGATCTGACTCCGCCCTCGGAGAAAGATGGGAACATGGCAATGGGTGCGCAGGGTGTGAATGGACACGTGAACGGTCAGCAGCAGGGAGGCAATGCCTCTGCCGGCAATGGGGTGACGCCCACGACTCCCGCTACTCCCGTCGCGACCCCTGGTGCTAACACACCGGGGAGTGGCATCGTGCCGACCTTGCAGTGAGTATATTCTTGCTGTCTTTTTCTGGGCTCATCAGAGTACTGAACAAGTCTTTTCTTTTTTTTTTAAGAAACATTGTCGCGACTGTCAATCTTGACTGCCGTTTGGATTTGAAGACCATCGCACTCCACGCAAGAAATGCGGAGTACAACCCTAAGGTATACACATCCACACCTCCCTGAATTTTTTTTTCATCAGGGCACAGTGTGGCTGAACTGTTCTTTCTTAGCGTTTCGCGGCCGTGATCATGCGTATCCGGGAACCCAAGACAACCGCGTTGATCTTCGCCTCGGGCAAGATGGTCGTCACGGGTGCCAAATCGGAGGACGACTCCAAGCTGGCATCCCGGAAGTATGCGCGTATCATTCAAAAGCTCGGTTTCAATGCCAAGTTCACGGATTTCAAAATCCAGAACATCGTCGGTTCCTGTGACATCAAGTTCCCCATCCGTCTGGAGGGGCTGGCTAGTCGCCATCACAACTTCAGTTCCTACGAACCTGAATTGTTCCCTGGTCTCATCTACCGTATGATGAAACCGAAGATTGTGCTTCTTATCTTCGTCAGTGGCAAGATCGTCTTGACCGGCGCCAAGGTCCGTGAGGAGATCTACCAGGCGTTCGAGCTGATCTATCCTGTGCTGTCTGGTAAGGACATTCGGAGACTAGTGGTTGTACCCGCGACCGGAGGCTAACCTATTACTGCAGACTTCCGAAAGGTTTAAACCTCCCTTGGAAATAGCTGACCAGGAAGGTCAACTCGTCCTCCTTCACCTTCACCTTTCCCCCAACCTGTATTAACACCACTTTTTTTTTCACGCGGGGTTGTATTATGAGCACGGCTAGCCTTACCCCTGTGGCTTTCGGTCGCTGCTTCGTCCTTCAGCTCTCCCTTGACGATGTTTCATGCTTTGCATTTGTACGGCGTTCTAGCGACTCGGTTACATACTACCTTGCTGCTTCTTCTTCACAAAGTTCTACCTTTATGTCCCGTTTTCTTTGCAATTAGATAAGTCGCACACCGCAAATCAAGGGGGCGGTACTGTGCGCTGGTCGAATGGTTGCCTCCTACTAATTATTGGCTTGGCGTTCTCACCGAGGCTGGTCTGTCCAACTGGACTGAGACCTTGGCCGGTTCCTGTTTCGAAAGAAACAAGGAAGATAGGTTGAGACCAAAAAAAAATTCCTTTTTCAGCTTTTTTTACTTTTTTTTTTTTTATTCATCAAAAGAGGGATCTCGCCTTCGAATCTTCAAACCTTTCGGTCGAGGAGAAGGTCGATGAAATGCACTTGTTGCTGGATTGAGCTGCTCTTCAGTCTTATGATAGTTTTTACTAGCCAGAGAATGGAGAATAGTCGTAAACCATATCACTTTTTATTCTTCTCATTATTCATGTAACACCGTATGTTAAGTTTGGCTATGCGCAGCTGTACGAACATATATACTAGGCTATGTACGTAGTACAACATGAAGCCATATGTAACATCCACAAATACAACACCCACACCGCGAAGGACCAACAATCATGCCCCCAACAACAACAACAGCAAAACAACAAATGTATCCATCAAAATCGGAAATCGAATGATCTAATCTAAGCCAAAAAGACCAAAATATATATACATATATTCAAAAATCACAGGCGTGAACCCCTCCCAATCTTCTTCCCCTTCGCCAACTCATCCATCAGCCTCACCCCCTTAGGCCCCGACCGACTCCCATCCTCCGTGCCGTCGAACTCCCCCGGCGATGCAGCAGCAGCAGGCCACGTCCACAGCGCACGCAGCTCCGCCTCCAGCTTTCCTTCCAGCGCGTCAACGATCTTGTCGCCGAGGACAGGGAAAAACTTGTATCCGTGGCCACTGCCGCCTGTTGCGAGGAAGAGGCCTTGCTGGGTGGGGTGGTGGTCGATTATGAAGTCTCCAGAGGGACTGTTCATTTCCATCATGGTTAGATTGGGAGGGATCATGTTTGGAAGGGGAGGCAGGGGGGAAGGGGGATGTGATTCGGAAGGGGGCAGTAGGGATGGAAGGAGGGGGGAAATGGAAGACATACGTATCTGTGTACCAGCAAATCCGACTGCTAACAAACGGTCGATCCGCAAAAGCGGGTAGCAGCTCCTTGAGCGCGCCGCGGAACGCCTCTTCTCCCTCCGGTGGGATAGGCACGCCCGCCTCAGGCAGACTGACCTCCATCGTGGAGGTGGAAGCCTGACCACCCTGCACAGGGACAGGGACGGTCTTGGGATTAACGTAGCCGTAGGCGTGGCGGGCGATCTTGAGCAGGTTATTCCGCGGCGGAATGATGAACATGCCTGTAGCGAAGTTTAAGATAGTGGGCATGTTCTCCAGCTGGCGCTGCTCGTCGTCCGAGATGCGCATGTATGCTAGTGCCTGGCCGGTTGAGACGGCCCGCCCGCGGAGGTCGACGAGCTGGGTTGTCCAGGCGCCTGTTGCGAGGATGACGAGGTCGGCTGTGAGGGTTGTGCCGTCGGCGAGGACGACGCCTGTGACTTTGTTGCTGTTGCTGGTGTCGTGGAGAAGGGTGCGGGCTTCGCCCGTGACGAATTTGACCTTGCCGGCCTTGTCGAGCTGCTGCTTTTTGAACCGCACTGTCGCCTCGGCGTCTGACCAGCCTGAGCCCCAGTTGACGTAGCCGCCCGCAACGTCGAGATCAGGACCGTAGGCCGGGGCTGCGCGCACGACGTCTGCCGCGGAGGGCAGCATCTGGACGAGGGACTCGTCTGCTTCGAGCTGGCGCACGTTCTCGTAGCTCTTGATGGCGTAGTGGCGGGCGTTGGTGTCGCCGGAGGGGTAGACGAGGACGAGCCCGCTCTGCGTGTACCGGCCGTCCTGGCCCCATTCGGTGTTGCGCCATTTGGCGATGGCTTCGGCGGCGAGCTTCGTGTACACTGGGTTGGAGTAGTCTGCGCGCACGATGCGTGAGGTGTCGACTGAGGAGCCCTCCGGGTTGGGGATTGTGGGGGAGGATTCCAGCAGGGTGATTTCGCTGGCTGGGTGCCGGCGGGAGAGGGAGTCGGCGGTTGAGACTGTGTGGTCGATTAACACGTTTGTGGGCTTGATATTCTCCCGTCTGTCTTTGACGTCCGGGGGTGAATTTATATGTGGGGTGGGGTAGGGGGCTGAAGCAATTGATTGCACTTACGTCCGAAGACACCTCCCCCCACAATTAAGATCTTCTGTGGCAGAGACATAGTCAGGGTTTCTCTATGTGAAAATATGTACTGTAGGAAGGTGAAGGGCAGTCTGACAATTGCAGTGTGGGGGGAGAATGTCAAAATGCCGATAAGGATTGTGTGACTCCGCGTTCTCCAACGCCGATCTCGCTGCGTTCATCTTTTAGCTCGGCTTTCTCCCGACTCAACCACTCTCCGTCTTCACTTGCCACCACCCCGCTTTATACGTGAGCCTGTCAACAAGGACCACTTTATATCAATCCTGCATGCGCGAAGTCGACTCCATATAGAGTCACAATGAGTGCATCACGGGTCGGTCGGGCGGCCCTGAAAGCAGGCAAAACGCCCATCTCAGGCAAAGGCATCAAAAAGCCCATCGACAGCCCAGGGTATCTTCATCCCTCACCCCATCCCACACTCTTCACCAGATACTAACATAATGCACTCAGAAAACCCCTCCCCAAACGCGCCAACCCCCACCTCACAAACCTCCACTCCAACCCCCCCACCCCAACCCACAAAATGTCCCCCCGAACCCTGACCATCTTCGGCGTCGGCGCCCTCGGCATCAGCACCTACTGCGGCTTCCTATACGCCTCCTACCGGCGCGAAGTCGCACAATCGCAAACCCTCTCCGTCCCGGAGGACGTCTCCGACAGATACAACCACACAGCGCGCACCTTCGACGCGGACGTCGCGCTCTCCGAGAAACTAATGCGCCTCGGCGCCAAGCGACGCGATCTCGTCCGGCGCGCCCGCGGCGACGTCCTCGAGGTGAGCTGTGGCACGGGTCGCAATCTCGAGTACTACGAGCTCGGCGCGGAGAAGGCCAGGGGGTGTCGGTCTGTGACATTCGTGGACCTCAGCCCGCAGATGGTGGAGATCACGCGCGAGAAGTTCCGGAAGCTGTTTCCTGGGTTTGGGAATGTTGCGTTCCGCGCGGAGGATGCTCATGCCGTGACTACGGGCCCTCCTACTCCTGCCGGTGGTGCGGCGCGCGGATGCTACGATACGGTCGTGCAGACGATGGGCGTCTGCTCGATGCCGGACCCTGTCGGCGCGCTGCGCCATCTGGGTAGTATTACGGAGCCGCAGAGGGGCCGTATCTTGTTGCTGGAGCATGGGCGCTCGTACTACGACTGGCTTAATCGCGTTCTGGATAACTTGGCGCCGGCGCATGCGGATAGGCACGGGTGCTGGTGGAATCGGGATATCGGTGCTATTGTGCGCGAGAGTGGGCTGGAGGTTGTTGAGGAGAGACGGTGGCACTTTGGAACGACGTGGGAGTATGTGTTGAGACCAAGAAGGTGATCTTTACAGTTTTTCTGTTCTGTTCTTTTTTTTTCTTTCGTCTTTTTGGGCTATAGACTACTATGTACATTAACTATGATATCCTCACGTGTACTATATTGTACTATATTATTGACAGTTCTGGTCTACTATCACATGTAGAGGCAGTATACAACATGGCGGTGAAACACAAGTATAAACAGTAGATACTAAACACGATAACACACGGTGTACGATAATCACCCAGGAAACTCAGTATCTCGTCAGTATTACCACACCCTGCCGGAGAAGTATGACCAAGTCGAGCGGACCTGACGGAAGAAGCAGGATGAAGTCAACATGGCGTACTCCCTGCACATGCGGGGTCGGATAGCATAGCGGCTGCCGACGCGGCAGACGACGCAAGGCGATGCTTATAGATTATTGATTGACGCAGGTGCGGATGGGTCTTGTGTTTTGGAGATGGGGTATTTATTGCTTGGAGGGAAATGCCTCCAATGTTGGTGTTGGTGGTTGTTGTGGTGTGTGGTGGATATATATTTCTATCAGTGTCTACTACGGATATCAAGATAGTGTACTCCGCATTGAAGGCATGGTTGATTTATGTGTATTATTATTGGAAGTATTGGGTATTTGGATTGATTGTATATATTGCAGTGGGTGGTTGATATATCTGTTCGAATTGTATGTGGCTAATGACTGCCTCGATATATCAATTTGAGGTTACAGTGAACCCCAAACAACATGGCACGGACCGTGATATATAGTTTGAAGAATACGGTATAAAATCTCCCACATTGCATGAAATACATAATATCATGCATGAACAGTCGTACAGAGTATAGACTACCCCATCGAGGGACAGACTACTCCGTACAACTACAGACTACAGACGCAGATAATCCTGCACGGTACAGGTCACAGACAATGCAGGCTCCAGCGGTGGGACTTGCGTCTGACTGAAGGATGATCTTGATGATTTTCATGGGGGTCTCTCTACTAGACAAACCCAGATAGGTAAGATCTGTTGTCTATCAAAGACACCAGATACCAGACACGAGTACAGTCGGCATGCAGTGGCCAGGCAACTGTAGAGGGTAGTCCACCCGTGAGACACACTATGGACTTAGTAGGGAAGTAGATAGACGACGGGTGGATGGAGTCGTGGTCGTAGGGATGGAATGATAGACATTGATGGTATCATCGTCTGGAGACTTTGGAGAAGGGTTGATGATCCCTTGCTGGATCGAGCGATACATCACAATAACAACGCGTAGAGTGATGCACTCGAAATATGGAAGTTTCCACTCTGTCTCTGGAGGAGGGTCGCATCCAAGGGAATAATAACACCGTGTATTGACCTCTTATCTTTACACGATGAACATGGATATCAGCCAATCTTCCTCTCTGTTGTTAGGTTTATTCTATTTTTCTTCCATTTTGTTTCCCCCCTACTTTTTGACTTTTTTTTTTGACTTTTTCCTTCCTGACTTACCTTTTTCCCATGTCTTTCTTTGTTTAGTTCCAGACTGTCTTAGTGCCGACTCCATCTATCCCATCCGATTGGAGTCTCTTCCAACCCTGGTATGTTCTCTCCCCACCGACCACGGTCTGATTCGCCGTGAGAGTTTCAAACGGCGACGCTAGGAACGATTTTACCCTTGGGAATGTTCATTTGGGTAGTGGAGTCTTTTTTTTCTTTTTTTTTTTTCTTTTTCTCAGGGTTAGGCTGGGTGGGGAAAGGTGCATATGTTAGTTGCATCCATCGGCATTAACCCTGTCCTGTAGTTAGTGTTTTTTTTCCCCTACCTAGCTAGTTCGTTCGGTTCCAGTTTCAATTTCATTTTAGATCAGTTTTTTTTTTGTTCTGTTGGATTCGATCCGGCTTGACCGGTGCGAGTTGATGAGGATACTTGCGTGAGTTGGATCTATCTCTATAGTACGGAGTAATCTATTCTATAGTATTCTATTAGATTACGTTACATTATATTCTCTCCATTCTATTTGCTCCATTGTATTCTCCTGACTCTATGATCGATGTGCAGGAATAAGGACCATGGTTGGGTCCGGCCATGATGCACTTACCCGTATCTCCTGCAGCTCTTCTGTGACAGTCGTGTCTTGAGTGGCTTACTGGCTTGCGACGGCGACGCGCCGTCTTAGGTTCCAACAAGTTCGAACAAAAGCCCAGGCAACCGTAGAATAGAGTAGAGATGACAGGAGAGAGTCAAGCGGTCATGGTAAAAGATAGTCGGTGAGCATGAGATCGTCGTTGAATTGACATTAGGCTATTTTTCTTTTATGCTAGGTTATTGTATAGCAACCACCTCGTTTGTTGCAGAAGAGAATCTACTTGTAGGGTTGTTTGTTTGTTTTCGATCCGAACTAGAGACGCAGCAACCAACATCTCCCGGACCAACAACAAGGAGGTAAAAATGGAAAGAAAAAAATGGTAAGGAAAAATCCATTGGAAAAAAATAGAAGAGAGAAAAAGGACGAGTCGGCTGGTGGTGTCTTGAGTGTATGCAGAATCCCCATTGATCCCCGCCACCACCACCAATGAACGACGCTTGAAAATCATCCTGGTCGTCATCCATGGTACGGCAGGCCCAGTCAACACATGGTTGACTCCACTGTCTCTTTTTTTTCTCTCTCTCTCTCTCTCTTCTTGGGCGGGCCATTTTTTGCCCCTTCCCTTTCGGCCGTACTATTTGTTTAGCGCCCTGTTTAGTCGCCCTAAATATGCACAGTCAGTACGAGCCCATACCCCAGATACCTATATCGATGTCAAAGAATGTACGGTGTACGGAGTACGTCGAATGAATGTCCTAGAGTCGACATGTATAGATCCTCGTCTGTACATCCAGCGGTGAACAGGGATTCTGCTTCTCATCTATCAAGTTTCGTGATTCCTCCCACCCCTCCTTGGTTTTCGTCCCAAAAGGAGGGGTAAAGAAACAGGGCGACCCAAGGCTGGGATAAAAAAACACCATCATCATCATATCATCGTAATCAGAATAAACCACTAAGAGTAATTCTAATAATAATGATAATCATATTGAGTCATTCCTCGGTCGTTCCTCGTCTTCCGGTATGTTGAGAGGATTCCACTCCATCATACCATCGGATGGAAAGAGAGGGAAGAATATAATTAAAATTAAAAAAAAAGTCAAGAGAGCGAAGCAACCGTGGAAGAAGACTAAGTAGTCGTTGTTACTAGTAGACTAGAGAGAAAGAGAGAGAGAAAAGAGGCTCCATGGCTAATCAGCCAATTGACGCCACCCTAAAACATCCGTTTCTTATTATTTGGATTCTTACCTGGACCTGTTATGATTTTCTCTCTCTTCTTTGCCTCTGGATTCCCTCTCAAGTGATATTTCATTTTTTTTTTTTTCCCATCTCCACCAAAACCCACCAGAAGGGAAAAGAAAAAGGAAGATCCAGAGAATTGTCCACCGTGATTCCTGAGGCTTCCCGATATTATTATTATTACTTTATTATTACTATTATCATTACGATTACTCTCATTATTTCCATCTCTCTCTACTCTCGCGCTCTCCGTCTCTCCATCTCCCATCTTTTTGTTTTGTTTTCATAATTTCAATCTTCTTATTCTTATCCTTATTCTTAGTCCTTGTTCTGATCTTCCAGCCGACCAACGGATTGTGATCACTGCTCTTCTCCATACCGGGATCCATCGCAACATCATCTTGTCTCTCCCTCCCTTTCCTCTCTCTCTCTCTGTCTCTCTGTCTCTTCTCTCTCTTCCCTCTCTCCCATCTTCCCATCTTCCCACTCTTCCTGTCTCTTTGGTTTCATCCTTCCATCTTCTCCCCTATCTACCCGTGTGTTCCTAATCTTGTCCTTTTATCTCCGTACATCTCGTGTGGTTTCTTGGCCCTGTCTTGGTGGTTATTGTTTGTTATCGTTGGGTCTAGTCTTGTTTTATTACCTATCCATTCCATCCTTTGTTACCACTGTATCTCTACTCCATCTACCACACCTTATTACTCCTTATTGTTCTCCCCCCCACGCCTGTACTTGTACCAACCACCTCGTTCCCCCTACAATCTTCCTCTCTTCTCTCCCCATCATCTTCCGGCCTCTCTTTCGTTCCTGTCATTCTATTATGCCTTACAATACTCGTCGCAAATCGTTGTCCCTGCCATCCTTGGGTATTCACTTGCCGAGTTCCTCCCGTCGCTCCCCGTCTACCACCAAATCGTCGCACGCGACGGATGATCAATTGCCTCCCCCCAAGAAGGTCAAGAGGTCACACCACTCCGGTTCGCTGTCTCCAGAGCCCTCGACTCAAATAAAGGGGCAATTCGCCCGTCCCTCAGGACGACGCGCCACCGTCGAGCACACGCCACCCCCGTCGCCGGCCGATCTGGTCGCCCCCAAGATCGACACCGAAGGGATCAGCGATGACATCGTCGTCGGCGTGATCGAGCAGTTGGAAAAGACGGGCAACCGCCCGCACTTGGTCAAGGAGCTCGCTGCTATCTTACTCTCCTTCAACGACAATGTCGCAAAGTACGCGCCCTCCTTTCTTTTATCGTCTCGGTGATTTTGGTTGGTGTGCTAACCTTCATCGATTATAGCTCTGCAAATCCCGCCGCATTATTATCTTCGCGGCTGAACACATATATGAAACGTCCTTGGACGGCCCTCGCGCCGTGTCCGTTGGCCAAGGAGTTGATTCCCGTTCATCCGCGGAAAGTGTATTATTACCTCAACTCGATGCCGCGCCAACCCTTCCCAGAGAATTCGGACGATATCGTCATTCCCGGGATGGAGGGCAACAGCATCACCCCCAGCGTGTCCAGTGTCGATATGGATGAGGATGACGCGTTCGCCCGTGAGCGATCGCGTCTGAGCCCGAGTCCCGAGGTGGACCTGTCCCCTCCCGAGGACGACGAGAACGCCGAGCTGGGCGGTCGGGACGGCTCCAATAGTGCCGGTCACCGGGCGGACTTCACCGATCCGCACCACGCCCGCCTCTCCAGCTCCCACCGGGCGGCCTCGCCACCGCTGGAAGGCGACGAGAAGGAGTTCACGCAGACTGCCAGTGCTGTTCGCGAGCGGGCCTCGTCGGAACAGAAGGCTAGCCAGTTTGAGGGCGTGCGCGGCGGCTTTTCCGCCCTGACGGAAGGGCTGAATGAGCTCGACGCTCGGATGAACCTCGCCGACTCTCCGGTCGACGATGGCCCCCTGTCCTCCATCAGCAGCGCGCGGTTCTCTGGCAGTCCCGACAGCGACTACTTTTCTCCCAGCGCCTCGGAGCGGTCTCCGCTCGACAGCCCGTTCACCCAGATCTCTGCTCGCGAGACGGCCGGGATCGACCTCCTGGGCACCTCCCCGTCTCCCTCCCTGACCTCTGTGGCCTCGTCGCTTTCGTCGGGCACGAGTGTGGTGTCGGACGATGGCTTGGATTTGGATCTCCGCACCGAGGCCCTCGCCGGCGCCCCGCAGATCAGTCTGCCGGAGGATCCCGACGCGACGCCCGTCTCGACGCTCAAGCGGTCCATCGACATGCTCAACAGCGGGCTCCCCGACCTGGACCTGGAGATGTCCGACCTGACCGAGCCGGACACGAAGCTCTCGCTGCGGACCCAGGACTTTGCCAACACCGACATCGAGATGGTCTTTGCCTCCGATTCGTGGCGGGAACTCCAAAGTCCCGAGACTGTGGATGTCCATGAGCTGGATGAGATGTTCGACGAGATTTGAACCATCTGTCGTCGTCATCTGCCCGCTCCGTACTCTCCCAGGATCGCTCTTGGATTTTCTTTCTCGCCGAGATAGATCTAAGAAGCCCTTCATGTTGCACTCTCTACTTTAGTGCCTTCGATCTCTTCATTCTCCCATCTCCCCGTCTGATCCTGTACATTTCTGGATTTTTAATGACCGACTCTGCATTTGTTTGTACCTGCTCTTCCGACGAATATGCCCTCTCTACGTGTACATATATTTCTTTCCTCCTTTCCGCGCTTTCTTTTTATCTCTTGATACCTATCTGTCGTTCATGATCTGTTATATTCTTGGTTGGTTTGATGTTTTCCTCTCAACTCTATAGACTGCTTGGGGAGGAACGAAGACGTGACGTGTGGCGGACCCTGGGAGCCGCCGGACGAAAAAAAAGGACGGGAAGAAATGCTCCCCAAAATAACAAAATAACCGGCGTGATCTCCTTGTTGTCTCTGTTTTACCATATCTGCTGTTGGTGCGGACCGGTGTACTTAAATGAAAGGATTTTGCACCTACCTTAGAATGATATCTCCTGGATCGCTCGCATTCATGTCGCGTACCTCGGACGGGTGTCTTATTGTAATCTGCGACGAGACGCGGTGATTGGTTCCTTATTTTCCCTATTTTGGATCGCGATCTCCACCTACTTTCTCTCTGGAGGTCTGATTGGGCTGGTGACGTCGCCTTGTCCATCCAATCCCCATCTCAGCCTTTATGCTGGGAATTCTTCGATCTCGCCGCAGTTCGGCCTGAGGCCGAATGGCCATCAATGACTGACTGCCTTAGGAAGTCAGAGTCTATCTTATCTCTCCTCCATCTATCAATTTTGCGTCCCGTCTCATCATCCTCCCACCCCTCTTCCATCAATCCATCTCCGTCGTCTCCTCAATTCGCCTGACGGATCGCATTCTTCCGCCAAAGTACTTGATATCCATTCAACGACACCCGATCCATCACGCATGAGTGCCTCCGCAGCATTCTATTACCAACTCGCCACTCCCACACACTCCCTCCGGTGGGGGTGATCCATCACCATGGAAAGGGAAAGCCCACCGCTACCCCAGTTAGACAACCCAAAGAACACTTGCGAAGCCCTCTCGCAGGGAGCGCCCAACATCGTGCTGACTATGAATCTTCCATCGCGTCTCAGCACCTTGGCCCCCGCCCCAGCGCAATCGAAGATAGCCCCGCGAGGCAATAACGCCGAGAAAAAACCTTCTCTCGCGGGCAATGCGAAGGTCGCTATACCCCGGCAGAACGCTGCCACCCCCCGGTACAGTCGGCGTGTACCGTTGGCGTGCGTATCGTGTCGTCAAAGGAAGACGAAGTGTAGTGGCGATACCCCCGTTTGTCGACAGTGCAAGGAGTTGAGGATTGGTTGTCAGTATCCTGTTTCCTGGCGGGAAAGGACTAAAGGGTATGTTGTGCTTGGTTCTTGTGGATCGTTTCTGTCTCTTTCTGGTTCATGTGCCATCTGCGCGATTATGGGCTAAGTTGTGCTTATAGGCAGATCAACAACCTTGCCTCTCAGGCTACGGATTATGAAAATTTGTTGAAGGATATTGGCACTTTTGTGGACGGTCGAACTGCTGAGCGTATCAAAGGGATGTTGGACAAGGTATGTGTGACCGTTTGCTGTGTTGCTCATGTTTGACTGGTTAGAATCAGCCGCGCTGATACGGAACAAAGTACTCTGCCACTACTGGAAGCCCATCAGGTAGTTCCCAGTGTCAGTCCGTTACGCCGCAGGATGAAGACAACGATGATGTCGAGAGTTTACCCTCGTCGATCGGTTCCTTGGAAGCCATCGATCGCGTGGAAGAGGATATCAATCGAAACCCAGATTCGAGAGCCACGGGCTATATGGGGAAGAACTCCGAAGTCACTTGGTTACAGAGGCTTCGGAAAGAGACGGAGCAACGCTCTCAGAACCTGCCTGGGACCTACGAGGGTCCGCACGAGGGGGAATTTTCCATCCATGCCCTGAATTACCACCTCGACGACTTGGACGTCTCTGTCCCCGGTCCGGTGCAGGTTTACAAGATGCCACCGCACCAGGTGGCCGACAAGCTCTTCGAGGACTATCTCACCACCGTCCACCCGTTCTTTCCCATCATCAGTCGCACGCTGTTTGCCTCCCAGTACAAGACCTTCTTTGACTCGGCCGCTCGTCCCGGAGACAAGTGGCTGGCCATCTTGAATCTGATCTTTGCCATCTCTGCGCGACACGCCCACTTGATCCAGGCTCCGTGGCGCGGTGAGCCGGACGACCATCTGGTCTATCTGACCCGTGCGCGGATCTTGAGTATGAACGGGGATGTGCTCTTTAGCCATCCGGACCTGCAACAGGTCCAAGTTGAGGGCTTGCTTGCATATTACTTACTAGCGACGGATCAGATTAACCGGTGTGTTTCTCCCTTGACAGAACTGACTGCCCCCCCCCCACGTCTGAACGAACGATCATCCTAACGAAATCGACAGGGCTTGGAGAATCGAAGCACTGGCTGTGCGGTCTGCGATCACTCTCGGACTCAACATGAAGAACACTAGTGAGCAAACGTCAAGCATCTCTAAAGAAGCACGCTACCGGGTGTGGTGGTCTCTTTACACCTTTGAGCACATGCTCGGCATCATGACTGGCCGCGCCTCATGTATCCAGGACGGCATCTGCACGACCCCCTATCCTCTACCGTTCGAAGAGGAACGGCTCGCGGAGCCGCCGGCGACGAAAGTCCTCACCGACGGGGACGCACGAGCAGACTTGATCGACAACGCGGTGTCAAGTGCTCATGTCCGGCACGTCCCGCTCAATCCCCGAGGCGGCAAAGATGCCAAACACACGGATAAGGAGCGCGATACCTCGTGGCTGAGAAATCTCCCGCCATGCAACGCCATGGGTTTCATGTACTACGTCGACCTCTCGGTCATTGTGCAGGAGATCGTCAACCGTGTCTATTCCCTGGACTGCGCCGTGACCCCGTGGGCACACATTGAAAATCGAATGGGTGAGCTGCGATCGCGCATCGATCTGTGGCATTCGAACCTCCCAGAAGCGTACGACTTCGCTCGCAGGGACGAACACCGGGTCGATCTCCTCCGCAGCAAGCTCTTCCTCGGCTTCCACTACTATAGCGCCCGGATCACCCTAGGTCGTCCATGTCTATGTCGCCGAGACGCGCACCACGCGGGGTCCCCCGACAAGCCACCGTCATTCAGCCATGAGATGGCGGTAACTACATTAACCGCAGCACGCATGATGCTCGATCTAATCCCCGACACGCCCGACCCCCTTCGTCTATACCAGATCTCCCCATGGTGGTGCATCCTGCATTACCTCATGCAAGCTGCAACCGTTCTCCTCCTCGAGTTGTCCTTCGCGTGCATCCACATGCCCGACCACGAAAACACCTTCCTGCTCCTGAGCAAGAAGGCCATCCGCTGGCTGTTCGCCATGGCCGATTACGGCCTCGCCTCTCGTCGCGCCTGGGAGCTCTGCGATAGTAACTTCCGCCGCATCGCCCAGGGTATGAACTACGATGTCAGCGACCTTCCAACATCGCATTACGCTTTTACTTCGGGCGATATACCGACCGACTCGTTGAACTCGGGCCAGACGAGCGGATTTGGCCCCGCGCCCCTGCTTTATGATTTCATTCAGCAACAGCAGCAGCAGCAACAGCAACAGCAACAGCAACAGCATAATCAACAACTCCCGCAGGACAGTTTCCCTGCCACTACCGACCAGATCCGCCCTCCGTATACTGGTGCTCCCACCGCAGACGGAATGCCCTCAAGTCTGCCTATCTCTCCTGGTAATGATGCCTACTTCCCGTATGATCCCATCTGCGGCGAGTTTATCAGGTCGTTCTTCCCTGCGTCGCAGGATGAGGATTATTGGAGTCATCCGCAGGGTTGATTCATCATTACCTCCTCCTCTCTCCCCCTGCCTCGTTCTTGCTCCTCTTCTTCTCTTTCTTTCTTTTTTTTTTCTTCTTATATCTTTGATTTCATTCCCTTGTAAATATTCCCCTTTTGCACTTAGTTTTTCTCTTCATGATCCGGGATATTGTGGGTTTCTCAATCTTCTTCATTATACCTCGGCAGTTGTTCATCTTCTCATGCCTTTCCCCTGTACTCTTTTTTTTTCTTCTCCTATTCTTTCCTCATGCTTATTTTCATTCTCCCTCCCCCCCCTCTGTTTTTATGCTCTCTTCTTTCTTCTTTTCTCCGCTTTGCTTTCGTTTCATACATGAATACGCCAAAAGGGTATACCTTCTTCTGCTATACGAAAGTTTTATGATAATTATGTTTTGAGTTTCAGCTAGTGCAAGTCTCATGGCCAGTATGGCCATTGAGAATGACAATATATGGAATAATACATCGGTTTAGACACTTCTTACCTAGATAAGAGTAGTATGTTATGCTTTGTGTGGCGTAAGCAAGCAGCTATGCAAGACGGAAGGAGAAGTCAGGTTGGGAAATTCTCGTGGTGGGTGATTGTGTTGGTGGATAATAGATATATAGAAGATAGATGGTGAAGATGAGCCTGGTATCAATGCATGGAGCTATAACAAACAGAGACAAAGTGAATACATAGTTGAACAATCAACCTTCACAAACGAGCATGCTGTAGATGTAATGGAAGAATAGATGTAATGTAATATAATATAATATAATATACAAGGAGAATCCCCCCACCCAAACAAGTGTATATATCACAGTTGAAAAACAAAGAACAGACGCTAGAAATCTTGTATAGAGATAATACATATGCTGAAACCGTACAAGTAAGAGAAAAAAAAGTAATTTATCTCTTTTCAGTAGAAAGTGCCCCTTAACGTGTCTTAGACTGACCCCTCTCCCGCCGGCGACGATAGAGCAAGCCGCCTACCTCGCGGTTGATCTCGCGGCGGCGAACCCGGAAGGTTTCGAACTTCTCGATGCAGAATTCGAGGATTGGTCGGGCGGGGTTGTTAGTATCGTTGTTGTTGGCCACTTGTCCCTGTCCCGATGGGGCTGATTCTGTGGAAGACGGGGAAGAGGAAGACTGGTACTCGTTGTATTCTTTCACAGCCGCCTGGGCGATGATACGGATTGTATTAGCGTTAGGAAGCACGGCCTTGCTTTGGATTTGTTTGAAGTACTGCGCGTCGAAGTGCGGGTCGCCGCGCGCGCGGTTGCGCTCTTTGTTCAGGTATAGCCTGGGGATGCCGCCTTCTTGGAGACGGCGGAGCGTCGGCGACTTGAGGTCGAGGCACCATCTGTCCCAGAGGCGTTTGCCGGCTGCGCTGCCCTGCGTGTCGACTACGGCGGAGAGAATCGGGTGGAAGGTTGCGGCGGGAATGTGGGGGATTGCGCTGTGCGGGGAGGGGGAGAAACGGGCGCGGAGGGCGGCGGAGGCGGCTGTTGCGGTGTCTTTTAGGGAGCCGCCTGGGATGGACTGGAAGAGGCGGATGAGGCTGTGGAGGGAGCGGTCTTGGTAGTGTGTTTCGGAGTGGCGGTGGGGTTCGTTGAATTCGCCGCTTAGGAGTCGGCGGAGGATATCTTTTGCTTGGGTGAGCTCGTTTGATGCTTGTGGATCGGCGGGGTTCTGCTGAGCGGTGTGCTCGAGTCGGATGACTGCTGCTGCGAGCGCTGCTACGTTGCTGTGGCCCCAGGATTTGGCGCGGTATTCGCGGAGGTACTCGAGCATCGGAACAACTTGGTCCCATTGGCCCATTGCGACCCGGAAGTTGAGTAGAGTGCGCAGGATGTTTGCGGAGAGGGGCTGGCCGAGAGAGGAGGTGGTGGCGTCGCAGAGAGCGGTGTTCTTTGTGGCTGCCGCGAACCGGATGATCGCGGGGGCTAGTGCTTGATCCCCGTAGGCGCTGGGGGGGATAGGGGAACCGTCGATGTCGCTGGAGAAGAGCATCCACTCGCCAAATGCATACTCTCGGGACACAGTGACTAGGTCGAGCATATGGGCCAACGTGATGTTCGAGACTTGCGGGATTGAGGACTCGAACACCCGCAGGGCTGGAAGGCGGGCCATGTCAAACGTAGGGAACCAGTCCATCGGGGGTTTATCCAGGATCGATGAGGAAAAGAAGTCGCCGATGCGTTGCATCTTACTCGCGTCAGTCACGGCCTGTAACCACTCGAAAGCATTGATAGCATCGCCACAGAGTCGCTGCAAGGCGTAATATCGGATGTTGTATTCGATGAGTCCAGACAAGGCCGCAGTTTCATCGTAGAGCTGAGAGGGAGTAAGTGGGTCCAGATCCTCGTCCCTCAATTCTAGATTGCTTTCCCAAGGGGGCACGACGTGAGGAGTAAGTCTCAGGAGGTTTTCAAAGGCTTGAGGATCGCTCTTTGCGTCGAAGCCGCCAGATTCCAGGACACGCACGGTAAACCAATTGGACGATCTGGACGTTGGGAGAAGCTCGCTGTCGGAACTGGTTGGCGTTATGGCGAACTTCAACGACGACGCGGAGCGGATGAGTGCCGTTGGTGAGACGCCTCGAAAACCCAGTCCTAGATATACCAGATTGGGAAGGTTGTCTAGCAACGAAGCGACGACTTCCTCACTGACCGTCCGCTTCCCCAGCCCATTGAAAGGAGTCGGATTGACCCGTCTCCGTGGGGGCGAAGGGCGAATGTCACTACCTGGCTGGCGCCACGAGTCTTCCCGGTCGATGTTGGTGTCTCTCACCAAAGTTGGATCTTCCAGGAGAGGCTTCCAACTTCGGAACCCCCAAGCCTGGTCCCCCTTCCGCCTTTTCATCTGTTCTATGAGCCATATGCCTTCTGTCACATGACCGTGCTCCACGCAGCACCAGAGGATGAATTCCAACCAAATCTCCGGCCCGAGTTCGCGAATACCCATCCTAAACGGTACGTAAGGAGAGTCTTCGCCCGCTGCCGCCGCCTTGGCTGCGACTTCTGCTTCGTGCACTAACCAAGCCGCATCCGACAGGACACTCACAATATGGGTAGAAAGCAAGTGGATACCCGGAGGCCGAAGGGTGTTCTTGTAGAGTTCCTCCCCAGGGATGTACTTATACACTCTGTCGGAGACCGCACCGGAGTGGTGCAGGCGAGCCAGAACCTGGAAGACATAGGACATGGCCAGCTTCGCTTCACTGGGAGGTGCGTCGGCCGCATCAAGTATGATCGAGCCCAGAGACGGCCACAGTTCTGCCATGAACCGCTTCGAGTGGTCATCTGCCAGTGGCCGCTCCGTCATCGCGTCAAGGCTGGTAAATCCAGGAACCAGCGGTACCTCTGAGCCCGGCACGAGCCGTGGTACCGGTTTTTGTCGTTTAGCAGTCAGTTCATCCAGCGATTCCGACGAGCCCGAGCCCCAGTTAAGATTGGACAGCGGCCGGGATGGCACTGCGACCTCGTTGAGGGTGTCCGCGGCATCCAGCAAACGGTTCAACAAGGCGTGAACCGCAGGCCAATTGTGTTTCCGAAATCCCAGCTGTGACAAGAGGCCCAAGTTTCCCGACATCCTCGCATGGAAAAGCAGATTGGTCAACTCGATCGTCTGTACCAGCGAGTCGGCCGCGCTGGCAGCCGTACCGTCCGACGCAACAGCATCCGGCGCAGCATTCTCGGGGGATTTTCGCAACGACGGCGGAATGTACTGGTCCAGCAGTGAGAGCCATGCCTCAGGGTTTTTCTCTTGCGGCCCCGGAACCGGGCATCTCTTCATCTCTAGCTGAACATGCTTCTCGAGCAATCGGCGGTCGATCGGAGGCCTGGTGTGCGCGGAGAACGGGCGACTCCATTGTCGCCTCCCCGGGAAAGGTCTCCCGACCTGGCGAGCCCGGGGGAGTAGCGCGCGAGGGTGCGATATCGAGGGAGAAGGTGAGATGAACCTGCAGCCCAGACACGGCAGACGAGCTGGACCCAGGCACCTTTTCATGACACGACGGAGGATCTCGCGGAGGAGAGAAGCGGGCGGGGAGAATCCAAATGTCGAGATGGCCGGCGCACGGGATTTCTGTGGCGCATGTCTAATCGTTCAGCCGTAGTCGCATATCATCTAAGATTACCGGGAAGGTGCAATTGAAAAGATATCCGTTATTCAAGGGGGTTGTTTGACAGAAGATGCAGTGGCAGCTTTTTGTCGATCCCGAATTCAAAAATCAAACCCGAAATTCATCGCGGACACGCCGTGCTGAGTCAGCGTATCTGACCAATCAGCGACCGTCTGTTTTCTATACATCACAATCTACTTGATCCTACGGAGCCACTTCTACTTCCATACGACCTGATAGTCGGAAAAGTACAGTCTGTTCAACAGTTCTTTCTCTAATCACCCTCTAGATGAGATCATCAAGTCTCTAATCTAGCGAATCTGGCTATCATACACATGAGGGACCCAGTCACCTCTACAAAGAACAACTGATCCAGCAGCAGCCCTCATCCATCATCCATCTCCTTCTTACAAAAGATGTCCATGCAATTGCAGAACGACCAGATGATTTTACCTAAGCATAGATGGGTCGAACCTGGCGGGGGTGGGTCCGCTTGAATGGGAAGGCAGTGGCAGCCGGACCATTCTGAGCGTTCTGAGCGTTCTGAGCGTTCTGAGCGTTCTGGGCCATGTGGAACAACTCGGGCAAAGGAACGTCGCTCACGCTCGCGCACGGAGTCGACAGCGTAAGGAGGGTAGAAGCCTTCGAGGGGAGAGGTCTGCTAGAGGGAATAGGCGAAGGAGTAATGGAAGGCGTCACGGAAGGAGTGGGAGTGGGAGTGACAGAAGACTGGAGGCCCGTTAGTGATCAATGTTTTCCTCCCGGGGTTACTGATGCATTGATTGTGGACTGACCGCAGGGACGCTCGTAGCTTGACCTTGGCTAAAAGCAACAGCCGGGGCGACGCAGACGGCGGCAATGGCTCCAATGACAGCAGAGATCTTCATGATGAATGTGGAATGAGTGGGCTGAAAGATTTGTTTGGAAGGAAAAGTAATTCAATGTTTAGAAAGAAGGTAAGACGTTTTGTGTATGACTCCACCAGGGAAAGTTGTGTGCACAGCACTACAAAAAGATAGAAACAAGAGAGAGAAAAGAGAAAGAATGTTGACTGGATGAAGACAGAAGATACAATCCCCCCCGGCGTATCGCGGGCTATTTATATGTGAATTCCACGCACCTTGACAAAGCCATGGAGTATACGGAACTGATCTGTCTGGACTCTGGACCCCTGAAGCGACAACTGGGGTTGATTCAGACTTCAGTGGTTCTCAACAGGCCGATCCGAACCCTCCGTTTCCACTCGCCTCCACGAATGGGATATTAACCAGAGGTTCGCATTGTTGTTTGAGGGGGGTCAACAATGGTTCCTCATGGTCCAGTCCGGCAAAAAAGACCAGGGCCAAGTTGATAGCTCCAACGCAGGTGGCCACTGATCGTCATCTCAAAGTGCCGGCTTCTGAACAGTTAAACCCCCGTTGTATCAGATGGGAGGGGCGGCTTTGGGAGACCCGCCAGCTCAAGAGACCAATGGTGGGGTGCTATCCAGAAGGGGGAGGAAATCGGCAAAAGTCTGAGACCAGCGTGAGAAGACGATCGACCTGCGTCTCCCCCAATCATTTGCCTGTCCCTCACGATCGGCGGGTCCCGCCATGTTTCGTCGACAACAATGGATATCCAGAATTATCTTATTGCCCCCTGCGGCTGAGCTTTCCGCGCCCCCTGGTCGCTCGAAATGCTGGTCTAGGCAAGGTATGAAGATCCTTCGGTTTAAAGAGGTTCGTTCCGAAATAGGAAACACCGGGATATCCGTTATTCAACGAAACCTTGATCCTGAGTCAGTCTGCCATCGTGAGACAACCCAGCGATGGAGAGCCATGACGACGATGACCGGAGTGGAACTCTATGTACAATCTATTCATGGTATAGTTTGACATTTATTGATATCGAAATGTGGACCAGTTATAGAATGAAAAGGTATCAAATATTCAACCAAACTAGACCGACAAAGAAGCACCCAAACATATTGGCATACAACACAAACCCAACCAAGCTCCGCCGCGAAGAGCGCCGCAACAAGAGACATGCTGTCACCAGTCCGTAGGTTAGACCCAAATTGAGCCTTTAGACCTAGTTGTATGTGGCCAACTTGGATCTAGATCAACAACCGACCCCAAAGACAAAAAAAAAAAAAGAAACCCAAACCCTGAACCAAACTCCCCTAACAACCGTCGTGAGTCATGACAATGATAGATGAAACGCCGTTGGGCTTCAGAGCTCCTCCTCATCCTCTGCCTCCTCCATGGGCACATCTTCATTGGGCACCGTCTCACCGCCAAGTTCTTGCTCGACCTCGTCGACGATGAAACTCTCGTAATCCTCCAGCCCCTTTTGGACGTGTACCTTGAATCGAATGACATCGTTTAACATGCTCTCCACGTTTGTGTGGAGCTCCTCCCGGAGGGTATTGGCCCGAAGAGTCAGCTGCTCATATTCAATGTTCGTATTCATCTCGCGTTGCTCCATCAACTGGACGCTTTCGCTCAACGTAGCGCGCATCTTGGCCAGCTCCTTCTCCATCTTCTCGATCTGCGCGTCAGATGCAAGCTTTTGCGTCGTCGTAATCTCCTTGGTCCGCTCAAACTCTTCTTCGGCCGCGCGTCGTTTGTGCTCCAGAGCTTCGACCTCGCTGCGCTTCTCGTCCATGGCCTCCTTGATGTTGTCCAGGAGATTCCGTCGTTCCAGGTCCGCATCGATACCCCGTTCGCGGCGCTCGTTGATCTCTTTCCGGAGACCCTGGAGGTTGCTGCGAACCGCACCTCGGAGATCCAGGTTCAGCAAGCGTGCGGGGTGATAGCCCACGTACGGCTCCGCCAGTAGTCGGTCCCCTTCGGGAGAAATCCGGTTGAATGCGCCACCGTTCTGCGACGCGGAGAAATTCATCTCATTCACATTGAGCTCGAGTTCGTACTCATCACCCTTGGCGTTGACCGCAGAGGAGGGGATGAGGCTGTTCTGGTAGCCCAGGGTGTTGTAAAGCTTGACGACCTCCTCCAGGTCCTCAAGTCGCCGACTGGCTTCAGCCTCAATGGCCATGACACGGGAGTGCGTCTCCTCCAACCGGCCGGCCGTGTCTTCGAGACTCTTCTGAAGCCGCTCTCGCTCGGAGTTCATCCGGTCGATATCTTGGATGGTCAAGCCCTGCTGATCGACCCGAGATTGTAGGCTGGCCCGTTCCTCCTCCGCCTCCTGTAGTTCGGTTTCGCTCTTTTGCAGCTCGTCGTTCAAAAAATTGATGCGAGTGTTATATTTTTCGATCTTCCCCTGGACGTTCTGGTTGTACTCCTCGAACTTTCCTCGGTCACCCTCCATAACCCGGAAGAGTTTATCGAGTTTGGCCAGGTCCGGAGCCGACTTCTCCATCGCCTCGACTTCGTCGCGTAGGGATCGATTGTGCGCCTCGAGCGTTTGCATTTCTTGCACATACTTCTCGTTGCCCTGCTCGAACTCCTGAGCCATGCTTTCAACGTGAGGTGCCAGCCGTTTCTCAGCAGTATCCTCCTCTTCCTCCTCCCCACCTTGTAGCCAATCATGGTATGCTCCCGTGAGGAAGCGGAAGATGATCCGATCTCCGGATATATCCACTCCCATCTCGGCGCACGCCTCGTCGTACTCTCCCATGATATACCGATCCATCATCTGGGCCAGTTGCATCAACCAATGCAGCATCCCTAGGAACGTCGGCCAGTTCTGACCCCCAACAGCGGCGATTTGCGACTTGGTGATTCCCTTCTCATAGGGGTAGCGTAGCTGCTTTAGGATCGGCGGTACCTCAGCATCCATGGCTTTCTGGAACCGGTAACCGGGGTCGATGCGATGATAGAGCCATTGGAAGATGAAGTTGAAGTCCTTTTGCGTTGGTGATCGCAGAGTGTTCTGGCCCAGGGAATGTTTCATCTCCAACTCGAAGTTATTATGCGTGAGATATTCAAGCAGCTCCTGTCCAATGCGGGCCTGGAACGATCGGTCTCGGAGAGGTCGTGGATCTCGCGGGACACCGGCAACGTTGGGGACTTGGGTGAAGAACGATTGGTGGCCCATTCCTATGCTCATGCCGCCTCCCCCCACTCCAGATGGTCGCGAAAAGACACTACTCCTCCTTTGCAGACCCTGCGACGCCGGGTTGGATGAAAATGACCCCGGGGCATAACTAGGGCGACCGCCACTAGCGCCATGGAACATATTGCTCGACACCGAGCGCCTGACCGACGAAAGGCCAGCCTCCGCGCCCAGGCCACCAGACGAGGAACGCTGGAAGTTCGGCTGCTGGGGACGGCCGGAATTTGCCAGCGACATCGAGCGCGTATGCTGAGAAGTAAAAGGAGGGAGACCTATCGAGCTGGTGCGTTTCAGGGCTGACGACGGCTGCGGGATGGATGTATAATTCTGAACACTTCCCAACGTCTGGACCACAGATTGTTAGTGAAATGGCAACGCCTGAGGTTACAAAAACAGAGCAAGATAGAACGCTACTATGATAAACCATGAAGAACGAGGAAAGGGTACATACCTCTCGGGGGCGCCGGATGCTGAACAATCCTGTGTCTTGCGACATGGCCGTTAAAGGAGCCGCAACTGCGGCGGGGAAAAAGGTCGCAGATACAAAAGCAATGGGAGGGAACGCGTTGCACAAAGCAAACAATGAATACCAAAGAACAAGCGATCAGTCCGGACCGGGAATCCGCGGGCGCGCGGGGAAAGACAGATGGAGGAACTGTCGTTGTTTGGGGGGGGATAATGATGATTTTGACAGCCAGAGATGGATGTAAACAAGACATGCCACTTCCCGCTAGAAATAGAAGGCGGTGTGCACTATCAAAAATAATGCATGCATGACCCCGTGACTTCCATAGATAGATGAGTCATCAAATGCTCCGATCACGAGATCTGGGGTAAAGTTACAATACGGTAATTTACACGGCGGAACATCCGAGGTTCATATTATTATTCAACTCCGGCAGCCGACCAAGTCACTTCTCTCCATCTTTCCCCATCTTTTCTCCTCTCTCCTTCTCCCTCCTATCCTACCCCCTCTTTTCGCCTTTCATCCTCCTCTTCTAGCTATTCTCCAGTGCGCTCTCGTCTAGTGCTGTGGAGAGCTGTCCATCATGGCTCGCGAGGAAATCATCTCCTCTGCTGTAAGTACTGCGCCGTCAGTTGAGTTCGATTTGCGGAGTTGGAGCTGACCATCGTCTTTAATGACTAGGTGACATGTGCGTCTTGAAGAAGCTTGTCCCATTCATCCCTGTTGATACGATTCCTAACACCCGTGTAGTCCTTCAAGATCCGTCGGTAGCGTCTTCGCCGATCGAGAAGAGAGTCGCATTCCTCCAATCCAAGAACCTGACCCGAGAGGAGATTGACATCGCTCTGTCCCGAGTGGGTGAGGATCCAGCGGCCGCCGCTGCAGCATCCTCCTCGACAGGATACCAAGCTCCATCACAACAAGCTGTCTATCGACCTCCTCCACCTCCTGCCCAAGGCTACGGCTATCCCCCATATGGCCAATGGCAGCCCCCGCCGGAGTAAGTTGTATTCCGTCGTCACATGTGATTTCGGCGGGCGCAAGCTAACCACGCTGTCGGTAGACCCCCGAAACGGGACTGGCGTGACTGGTTCATCATGGCGACCGTGATGGGAGGTGTCGGATATGGGCTGTACACTGTTACCAAGGTCAGTATTTCGCCAGCGCACCGGTGCGGGCGCACCGTGGCACGTATGAGCCTGGAATTAACATATGATAAAGCGTTACGTTGCCCCTCTGATCGCGCCCCCAACTCCGCCACAACTCGAACAAGACAAGGAGAACATCGACGAGCAGTTTTCCAAAGCATTCACTCTGATCGAGCAGCTCTCCACCGACACAGCGGCCCTGAAATCGGCCGAAGAGACCCGCACAGAGCGGTTAGACTCTGCGCTGCGGGAGGTCGAGAGCCTGGTTGCCGACTTGAAGACTGCCTCCCGCCGGAGAGACGATGAGACCCGCCGTATCAACGATGAGATCCGATCGCTGAAGGATGCGATTCCCAAGGCGTTGGAAGGCGCCCGAGAA